GGATACGATCATCTTTTATTCGTTCTCTATAAAAACGCTCATAGAAATCCGGAAGATTTTCTTACTAATAGAATTGATAATACAGGGTATTCCAACAGTTCGGCATGAAAGTAACTTCAAGATTGTTGTTTTTGTTTGATAGAGAAATGTTTCAAGTTTTATTCTATAAGAGTGGAACTTTTTGCATAAAATAACTGAACACGGAAAAATGATAAAACTTGAAATGCATGCTTTCTATAAATGTACTTAGGAAAGTGAGTAAAGACTATTTAGCTTGTCGGAATTAAACGAATTGCTCTACAACCACACATATTCAAATGGTTTGTTTAACTTAAGGAACCCTCGTTAAAATGAATTTTCGACTTAACAAGATTTATTTGTTCTGAAACTTGCAGGGATGGATGGCCCTCATGAGGAAACCATTTTGGTAAAAATTTCAGCCAGATCCATCGGACTACATCAAAGTTTCGGCTTACTGATAACCCGTGTGTGGCTTCCAGGAGAATTCCTAAGGCTTTGTCATCAAAAGAACTACAGAATTCGGAGTGGTTTCAAATTAAAAGTAACATCTGTGCACAACTTTCATCCGACCAGAATTTTGAAATTCGCTTCTGTTTATTTTTGGTACGTATTTTAGTAGTCTTGCGATGAAAATATGCTGAAAGAAGCTGACCTCCATCCTATGAACCCCACTTTTCTCAGTCCACAAACCAAATATAAAAAAAAAATCTGGTCGAACAAAATTTTACTCACATTTAGAGCTTCACAACAAAAACAAGATATTGATTACATCTGCAGCCGTGTGATAGTTCGAATTTTTCTGACTAAAAACTATATTTTGAGAAAAATGAGAAACAAGTTTTGATATCGTATTTTGCTGATGTTTAAGATATAAAAAATTACTCTTTTTTTGATAATCTGATCGTTCGAGTTAAATAGAGTCATTTGTGCTATTACAATTGCATTCAATTTTGTTATTTCATGTGACATACACGTATTTCAATACCAGTGTAGTCGATGAATTTTCTCGAAATAGCGTTTTTAGCCAATAGATTGTAAATTCCTCCTTAGTGGTTTAAAATATAACCAATATTTCTTTCGTTGTGAAGCTTCAAGCCACAGTAAACTTTTGTGCAACGAAATTTCTTATATTTAATGTCCGGGCTAAGAAAAGTAGTCGAAGTCAGCTGTTTCACGGGTGTGTTAACACCCGCCCTAGTAAAACGCTCATAGAACGCAAACGATGGAATCACTACAGTCTTTGTCTTTTTTCTAATGGCGGAAGCCTATGAATTTTGCTCTTGATCCTGCGCAAAGAAGTTTTCTTGAGAGTTCATAGTGATGCTGCGTGTAAGCTGGAATTACAGTCTATCTCGATATATCTACATGAAAATTTTGCCAATGAGCAACTCATTAGTGTCACTCATTCCTGAAAGTATCACTCAAACGGACTCAATAAAGAAAACAACATCATTGTGATTGAAACCCTGCTAGTATAGGTAAATTGATTTATTTCACATTAGATCTTCAGAATTCCGCCAGATATACACATAGTACTTGTTAAATGTTTAAAATTGAATATATAAAATCAGTGACTAATGTAGTAAATGATATGTTCAATCCTGATAGCAGAAAAAAACTAAAAACCTATTAAAACCGAAAGATTTCAACAGTCAGATAGGACGACAGTAATCTCATACAATAAACTCATGTAAATATGAGAGTTTTTAAAAAAACCTATATATATATTCTGAAAGAGCACATTTCGGACTATCTTCCTAGAACAGAAACTCAAATTTCATACTTCTTCGAAAAATTTAAATTGTGTAAGGACTGCGCTTAAAATTTTGCCAAAAGAAATCAGTTTTCCTCCATTGACAGATCTACAGATTCCGGCTTTTCCTATAGCTTGATAGCACTTACTAGATTTTGCAGTAAATAATTTATCAAAAAAGGATTGAAAAATGCTCGAATTTCACCGAAGTAAATCTAAAAATTCTTTCGAATATTAACAAAAACTTCCACTCTTGTGGAATAAAACTTGAAATATTTCAGTATTAAAGAAAAAACAACCTTGAAATTTAGCTGCGAAATGACTAAGATACTCAAGTATTTTTCACGCTGCATTTTTGAGAGACCCTACATATTGTATTGAGACACTCTCAAATACATGATCGTTACATCTATCGTTTTCCTAAAATCATAGTTATGCGTCGTTCTTAGTCCATACCATTCATTTATAACTGATTATGTTCAAATTTCCAGGGAAACCGCGACGATCTCTGTTTTTTGTGACTGACACTCTGCAAAAGATTGCAAGAAAGCAATCATTTCTTTTGAGAAGTTAACTTTAATGCATGAGAATGAAATAATGACAGAATATATGACTTTGACGAAAAATCGATGAGGTTGATGTTACCAGACATGGAAACTGAAGTTGTTTTAAGTTTTTCAACACAAGGTCAGACATATCTGAACACCGCGTAGATTTGTAGAGACGAGTTTTCGTTTTGAATACATTTGTCAAATATTCATCGCGACTGCGCTGGCCAACGAGAGGGTTATGTAAAGATCCATCAAAGAAATTCGTAGAGATTCAATCCAAAAGTTCTGATTTCAACATTTAATTACGTGCGTTACTCTCGATTACAGAATGGCACAAATCTGATAACGATAGGTAATCGGGTTTCCGATTTTTTTATCAACAATCTCCTGCACTGGCACTACGTTCTTTCGATCATTCTCTCAAAACTATTTTCAACTATTCTTCTGTACTATCGTATAGGTGGTGGTGTGACGGTTGCTGGCTTTTGCAATGCGACAATTGGCGGTGGAGCTCAAGGTTTGTCAGGTCCATGGGGTCTTTATATCACGTCGAACAACACATTGTATGTGACCGATTATGATACCGGTCGAGTACAAGCTTATTCACCGTTTTCTCGCTCTGGCGTAACGATCGCGACGATAAGTAGTAATCTTGATGATGTATTTGTCGACACTACGGGATACGTTTACACTGCCGCTATTACTATTAATCAGGTGTTTGTTTCACCGACAAACACTGCCCTTTCAATCTCTATGGCGAATCCGTGTACTCTGTCCGCAATCTATAAGCCTTATGGTGTAGCTGTTGATAGCCATGGCAACATTTATATATCTGATTTCTATTGTCATGTAGTTATGAAATGGGCACCGAATACAACTACAGGCATGGTAGTGGCTGGACAACTCAATACTGCAGGTAGTAGCAATCAATTGATCAATGGTCCAAAGTTTATCTGTCTCGATGAGGTTCACTCGACACTCTACGTTGTTGACTATTACAACAACCGTGTACAAAAATTTCTCTTGGGCACTAATGGGACAGGCATCACAGTAGCTGGCGGTAATGGAGCCGGTTCAGGTCTGAATCAGCTGAAAAATGCAGCAGGAATTTGGGTGTCAAGCAAGGATCTATCGCTCTATGTGGGTGATCAGGGCAATCATAGAGTCATGAAATGGAGTGTTAATGCTACTCAAGGTTCCATCGTCGCTGGTGTTACGGGTGTAACAGGTAGCACGTCTCTACTTCTTAACACTCCTGGTGATGTGGCTCTCGATTCTACAGAAACCTTTATTTACGTGGCTGACTACGGTAATCATCGAGTTCAGCGGTTTCATTTATGAAACCCAATGCTTATTACTCATCGAACTAAAATTTTATGGCTTTCAACACTTTCTCAACTAATTTACATGATCTGAACATGGAAGATTACATTGCACCATTTACTGTACTCGTATTCAAGAATTTTTTCCGAATGTATGTACATGTGAAAATAAAAAAACTGTCATCTAATCAATCAGCTTAATAAATTCTGAGAAAATATCACTAAAACACTAATCAAATATTTGTATTTCATCTTAATCATTTTGTTAAACCGTTGAGAGCTTTTCAAATAATTTTTTATTGAGAAGTGTTTATTAAATAGAGATTTTGCGCGGATTACCCTCTTGAGCTTGTACTTTACTCAGTCCAATCAATCTATGACTATATACTGTCCATTCAAGGGGAAATAAGCGGACTTCTGTACTTCCGAAGCATAAAAATACGGAAAAGTACAGAGAAGTACCAAGAAGTACAAAGAAGTACGAAAGAAATACCCGGTTTCTCTATTGATTGTTTTCCAAAAACAGAACAAAAGTGTTCTGTTATTGGGAAATATCAAAAATTTTGTTCGTAAAAGACAGGGTGTGGGTGTGGGTGCATATTGGAAGTGGAGTGGTGTGTGGTGTTAGTGTTGGCGTTCTCTTCATTTACTGACTCACACCCTATTTTTTTGGCGATGTGTGCTGCATGTTGACCCAATCAATTATTCTAAATGCTTTAATATATGTATTTAAATTATGTTTTTTTTACTTTTAATGAAGAAAAATAATATTCGTTTGATACATGAAATAAATGATATAATCGATATCACGGTTTATGGTAACATTCCAAATATGTACAACTACGAATTGCGAGTGACGTATCGGTAACTGCAACAGATGATTTTTCATCAACACTTATTTGACTGGACTTAATACAGTAATTAAAAGACAGTATAACACTGTTTTTTGTACTGTTGTCTTTTATAAAAGGTAACAAATCTCCTACAGAACATTTTGATATCAAATTGTGAGTTTGAGATGAACAACACTAAAATCACAGATCATAGCTTTAAAAAAAAGTGAGTCTATGCACAGCAAACAACTGCATATTTTGAGCATCGTTATGTTTTATTTCAATGTAAAATACATTTCCTTCTAATCAACTTTCAACTAAAATAGGAGAAAAATTGAAAATAGAATATATTTGTTTGAAAAATGAGCAATGAAAAATTTAAATCATCGAATCCAATTTGTGGCGTTTCTGCATGATTAATATCTATAAACATTAAAGATAACAAAATGGCATTTATAAAAATATAATTACTGTATTCATCTTGCTCTGAACCCTTAAAGGAAGATTTGAATGACAATGATCAATTAATATTATTGTTTTGCTCTTCGACCACTCTTGCTTCTTGTTGTTTGATTTCATCAATTACTTGTTTCCAATAATCTTCAGCAATACTACGTTCTCGTAACATATTGTCGCGTTCTTCAAATTTGTTGAGTGTTGTCACTGTTGAATTCGATGATGCCTCTGTCATACTCAATACCTGTTGATTGAATGGCTCAGAAGTATTACCATCATTTAGGTCTAAAAACAAAGAGTATATCCTTTTACGAATAAAAGCTGTTTACTATGACGCACCGGTAAAAGGTGTATTTTCCAATAACCTTTGTTGTGTCTGTAGCGTTTGTATATGATTGTTTCGACCTAAGAAGAAAATGCAACAAGTTAAAAAAGAGAAAAGAAGTATTATACCTTTTAAATGTTGTTCAATGATAAAACTAAATGCTGCTCCTTTATTTGGATAATTCATAAAATGAATTGATTTGCCTGCAGCTTTAAGACTACAAAAGTGAGCATGGTTAACAGAATGTTCATTGCGATCTTTGACACTAGCAGGAGTACCAGAATATGTTTCAAAAGCTAAAGCAACGAATTGCTTTTCAAAACACTTGAGTGGATCATTTAGAACAATTCTTTGTACACCACTTCGTCGTTGAATATGATCAGTTCGAAGTCGTTTTTCATCAGTAACACGAAACCTATTTGGACTATTACTTTCACTCTCTAACAAATAAAGTATGATAGATGGATTAGGTATCCGTGGTGGAGAACTGAAATTGATAGTAACGGAGGTAATAAGCCCCATCCGACGGATGCGATCTACACCATTAAATACAACCATATCAACAAGATTTGAATCAATTTTCATCATCTCACCACTATCAAGAATACCATATGTATTGTCTTAAACAAAAAAAAAAAACAAGAAATACATGTGTTGTTATGAACTGTAAAAGTGAACATACTTGGCTTTTTTGAATGACGATTTTTAAGAAAATGATATAGAGGAGAAAATATATAAATGAATATATTAAGTGGTGGTGGTAAAAATGTCTTATTAGTATATTCTGTCACAAGTAGGAAACGATAATAAGCCCAAGATTCATGTGCATTCTGTTGAACTTTTTGAATAGTTATACTAAATAAAAGAAATAATATCATGTCTTTCCTTAAATTTTAACTTATCAAGGTTACTTAAAAAGTGCAACTAAAATATTGAGAAGTAATATATTTGCCACAGATACAAAAAAGATCGTCAAAATGAATGCAGTTATTCCATAAGCATCGTTAGTGACTAAAAAGATCAATTGATTTATGTAATTTTTACTCGATTGATTGTTGTTCGTTTTTACCAGCGACTTTTTCTTCATTATCAAAGTGATAAGAAGCGTCTAAATCAATTTGTCCATAAATTTTCCACATACCCCAATCAATAATATCTCTCAAAATTTCCCAATTCCATAAACCTGTACCATTGTTCAATGCTTGAAATTGTCGTGACGATGGTTTATTATTAGCATCTTTCCAAGATATTTGATAGTTAGCTACAATCAATGCATATGACGTTACCGAATAAGCAACCAAGAAGATAAGAATAAAATAAAGGAAGAAGAGAAGATCTTTCATCTATATTGAAATATATATGACAGCTTTCATTTATATAATTTTAGACTTACTGTGTTAAAAATCATTAATAACTTAGGTCCAAGTCCTTCAAAGACAGCAAACACATGAAGAATACGGATATACCATAAAAACAGATCAATACACATTAAAATTCTAATGAAAAAAATAAGTTCGTCTTTCAATTAATACTATTAAACATACTTTGAAGCTGTAAATACTTCTTTGATAACAATAAACCTTGTAATAAATGCAACAAGATAAATAATAATTGCAAATATATCTAAAATATTCCATTTATTTTGGCTAAAATAATTATATATGCTATATCGACTATGATGGTACTTTTTGACTTTCCAATGTTGCAGAAACTACAAATCAAATGTCATAAATACTAGTTTTAAACGTTAACGCAAAATTACTAACTTCGTGTCCTTCTTCAAAAATTAAGCTCCAAATAAGAACATGAAGAAATATTTCAGAAATTGGAATGAATAAGTTATTATAAGTACTTCTTTGACCACCATTTATATTTATTGGAAAATAATCAACAAGTAATACGTAACTGAATAAAGCAAGAAAAATAATATAAAATACCTAAAAATAATATTGGTAGTTAGAAGAATGAAAAATAGAAATTGTACTATATTATAAAAAAATCGAACAATAGCTCGTCCAGAATAAAATTCTTTGAATCTATAAAAAATTCTTGCACTCCATCCAATAATATGCCGTTTTTTCTCCCATATTCTGCAAGAAATAGCATATTTTATTCACTAAAATAGATTTGAAGAAATATTAGATTTACTTTGGTTGTCTTTTATCTGATATAATAAATTTAGAAAGAGCTTGAATAGGAATTAATATGGGTATACAACACATAATAAAGATCTGCAAAAACGATAAAATATCAAGATGAAATGAATTCAATAAAACTTATCTGAAGTGAAAATGAAACATGTTACACTCACCAATGAACCAATCCAAAACTTATTGCGATCATATTCATTAAGTTGTCCATACCATTGTTGATCAAGATAACGTTGAACAGTTTTTGTTGCTAAAAACGTTCGACTCTCTATATCTTTAGCAATTTCCAATGGATATTTCTCAAAGAAAAGTGGTGATCTTTTTTTAAGAATATCAAGAGCAAATTCGTTATTTTCATCAAAGCACATATCGATAATTACTGATGCATGTTTATCGAACTCTCTAGAAGAAAATATATATTTTTGATATAATCTTCAAAAATTAATTCATCTTACTTTGCTTTTTCAACAAAACCCAATCGTTCTTCAGGCGTCCTATTAAACATAGCTGCTCGATGATAGATTTTGCTAGCCAAGAGTGCTGCTACAGTTGCATTCTATATAAATAATAGATGTTTTGTATTTAAGAAAGAAATCTATTTCCTTACAGAAGATTTTGAACAGAGATATGTAGCCATGTTATATCGATTAAAAAATAACGACCAGAAAAATAAATCGCGAAAAAATACTAATAGATATTATATGTAATATGAATTTTAAAAAAACTAGTTCTGTTACCGGGAGATGAATCAATATTAAAGCTAATTGCTACACCTTGCCTACTTTCAACATTAAATTGAATCGACGTTTTAGCAGCAGTAGAAAGTATAAGTTCGATACGGCTAAGATCAAGTGAATGTTGATTTCTTTGTGGTACATTACATGGAAAACCAGTTTCATATGTAAAACCAATAGCAATATATTGTCCATTAGTAACAAATGGCGGTTTTTCTGCAGTTTTATAATGGAATATATCTTTCATATTGTTGGATAATGATTGAAGTTGACATTTGAATGCAATCAGAAATGAATTCGGATTGTTTGTAGGCGAAATTAAATAGCAAACAGGAAGTTTATCTACTGGGAATGGTTTCGAACTATTGTCAAAGCGAATAGAAATAGTGTTTAGAAAACCATTGGCTTGAATCATATCGACAGCATTAAAAACACAAATAGGATGATTAAAATTACTTGCTGAATTAGTTAATACACTATCGTCATCAAGAGTTCCATATTTAGTAGCTAAATTAGAAGTTTTAAACATTTTTTCATTAGATATTTATCAATCTTACTTGAATTGTTTACCTATAGATTTTAAAAAATTATTAAAACTCAATTATAGCTCCAAAATAAATGTTTACCCAACTCAGTGATAGGTTTTTCGTATCGTTCAGATCAATATCCAAATAATCTTCATAGAAGTATTTTTTATCCAGCTCAGTCAAATTAGATAAATCTTTCTTTTTATGAATTTTTTCAATCATATGTTTAGAATAAGTTAATACATTTGTTTCCTATCAATATTAAATTTAGAATCATTACTAAGTAAATATTCACTAACTACTTCTTGATAAAGTTTGTCTAATAGATCAAATCTTTGTAGCCGATCAAACGAAGCACCATATTCAACAAGTAAATCTGTACAACGTATTTTGTTCATACGTAAAGAATCATGTAGTGCTTGATCAAGTTCAAGATCCTTAATTTAGAAAAAAAATTAGAAGTAAAAAAAAAAAAGCAATGACCATTTGCAGGCATACTGTCCATTGAAAAATTGTTTTGTCAGTTAAAATATTCTTTCGAATATAATCAAATTTATTCCAAGCCATAGCCAATTTAATTTCAGTGATTCTTTGTTTTTCTTCATTTTTGATTATTTTTGCGCCTAGAAGAGAAGCAATTGGAATCACAAGAATATCAAGAAAAACCAAAATTTAACATGATACCATTGAGAAGAGCGTGTAAAATAGCATCTTCAAGTTTCTGTTCACCTTGTTCATTATGAAAGTGAAATATCGAAATGAGAAAATAGCCTTCAGGAGAAGTAATTTGTTTAATGAATTGATCACAATTAGTATGATTGAGAACAGTATTATATCCGAATCCTGATCGTATTCTTCTCGCACTAAATACACTGCATAGCTGCACTTGTAACCTATGACAATTCTATATACTCACAAATCCTGAAACTTTGAAGAAGCTTCATTATATGCTGCTATTGAACGTTGTTCTTCATGCTGTACTGGATGATTTCCATACAAATATTTATATATGAGAGCAATTTCATCGGCAGCACGGCCAGTACCCTGTAGAAAAAATATCTAAGAATACAAACCATATAGATTCTTTATGTACCTCGATAACAATAACAGGTGTTCCTTGTTGTAATGCTTGACAAACAGTCAAAATAGATGAAGCTCCACCATTAGCCAATATTTGAACAATAGGAATAGCGTAACCGAAAATGATCAGAAAGAAAAATTTGTCTAATACATTACCCATATCGTCCTACTTTTACTAATTGTATGTTCAATTTCAGTACGCAGTTTAATTGTGAGATCAACTCGACAGTTAACTCTTTGAGTGATTTCACTAGAAGCTGACTCCATGTTCTCGCCTAACATGTCATCTAGGAGAATAAAGTGAGTGTGATTGGGATCGAGTGAACAATGATTTTCATTGGGTTTTGGCGGTCGGCTACGATATATTTTTGTGGTTCGCTCCACATGCACAATTTCATACATTGCTGTTTGCAAAGGAATACGTGCTAGAACTGAAGTATCAAGTTTATCTGTATGATCATCAGATCGTCTAACAATTGATGAGATCTGTCTGAAAAATGGAACAACAGAAGTCTGTCGTGTTAAGTCAAGTGAGGATTCCAATGGTGAAAGAGGCTGTCGAACGAGCTGTTGATGATCTAAAACAAACGGTTCAGATGATCTGGATTATATATTTTCAGAGAATATTAAAATAGCATACCTGTTGTGTAATACCAACTACTAATACCAATACATTGAACTTTTGAAGGAGTTTTAGTATTCTTATATCGGCGTTTGTCTACAGCATCACCTACCTCCTTCATCACACCGACATGGGTTCCTCCTGTAATAATCCATGCATCTACAATAGTTTTAACACAAAAATCAAATAAGGCCAGTTATGAATATGAAATAAAAGACAATATCGCTTCTTTTACAGGTGTAACATGGTATTTACATCCATTTGTATGTTGAAAAAATTCAGAAGTAACTATACTCACCTGTAGTAACAGCAGCAGTAATGAGACCACGTTGAAAAGCATTTCGTATTCTTGGTGTTGATAATTTGAAAAGATGTGCACCACCATTCACAGAAATAATCAATTGAGGTGATGGTAATTTCCAACCGTAACGCATTAAATTAACAATACGTTCTGCAAATGTTTTTTGCTGTGTCTCATTTTCAATATCATCAATGGAAGATGATGCGTCATTCGAATCTATTTCGTCGAGAAACTCTGATGAATCTAACTTTCGAAATAATGAGGATTTTGTCGTCGTCGAATCATCAAGAATGGGTGTGAATGGTATACGAACATACTAAATGTGAAATATATACATTAAAAGAAGGTCTAGTAATTAATCATAAACCTTTGAGCGACGATCATTTTCTGCAAATAGTATATCACCAAAATCTTTTATTCTAAATTCAAAAGAAGATTGAACATAACTTAATTGGTAAGATGACAAGAAAACATACATAAAATTCGAATTTTTAGCGTTTAGTTGATCACCAACTAAAGATAACCTATTAGTCATTTATTACATCAATATAAAAATATTACCTATTTCTGCATTGTAAACATTGCTGATATACTAGAAAAGAATACACAAAATCTCGTATGTAATTGTTGTAAGTAAAGTCTTATGACAATTTCTTTCCAAGAGAATAAGTCATTTTATATTCACTAAAATATCTACAATTTATTTATTCTATTTTAAAACAATAAATCTTAACATGACTTTTATTTCTTGTTTATTCTCATAGCTGGTTTTTTTTTAATTATTTTTTAGACAAAATTAAATATCTCAGAATTATGCAGAGAAATATCAATCATCATCTTACCTTGTTTAAATCAATTGAACTGTTATCATAAATACCATTCATTTTTTCAGGAATTGCCAAGCATAGTATTTAAAGGTATCAATTAACATTTATATTTATTTCATAGAAATGATGTCTACATCATTGACGTAGACAAAAAATAGAGTATGAGCATCTTTTATTTTTCTTTCGAAATATCATCACTCATGCGCATCAGATTGATGACAGCAGATAATTAAATGATCAAAAAACGACATATGTCTATGAAAAACATTCAATAAGTTAATGGCAATCGATGATAATCAACTAATAGCTAAAGCAATTTATAGAATGAAAAATTGAGTATCTTCGTCATTGATACAACTTCATCGTTTCGTAAATGAAATATTTCCAACATATAACGTGTATTGGCTGATCAGCGTAGAGTAATTGATGTATAAATTGTCACAACTTGAAGACACTTATCAGTAGTGTAGTTAACTTTGGATATACCCTAATATTCGATAAATCTTAACGATTGGCACATACTGTCAGAAATTATAGAATCATGGAAAGTGCTAACTAAAAATATGTTTCTACTTTTTTTTTATTACGAAGATGATTCAATTTGTTGCCTTTTAATTGGAGGTGCCTATGCTCACTCATAAAACAGTTGGAGCAAAAAATATAAACAACACAATTAAAAATATTATGTAAATATTAAATCCGATGAATAACTATGAAAAGAAATAAGATAACATTCATTGCTATAATGAGACAGACACAACTTCTTTTTCTTATAGAAAAGAAGAATTTGTGACAGTTTAAAAAAATAAAAAACAAGTGTTATTCATTTTGACTTTTTTGTCTTTATCACGATAAATATATCTAATCGTTTTAGTAAAGAAAAGAAGCTTGATATAATATTCTGAACGAATTTCTGTTATTGATGTCAAATAGGGGTTTCCTATTCCACTTACTATTACTAGGAAGTGATAAGTGATACATATCACTTTCAGGTAGGTTATTTGTGTTATTTTATCAATCCTTTGTCAGATTATATGTTTTCCATGCACACATTGGCAAGTGCGGCACTGTGTGAATGAGGGAATACGAATAATATGAAGAAGTATCAAGAGTCTTCCAAGATGATCGACCGATCTGGGAGTCGTTGATCTCTCGCGAAAAGTGTCAATAAGCCTACAAACTGAGCGACCTCTTGACATTCCCAGAAGTATATAAGCACATTGATTTGTCTTCGCTCAATAAACATCTTCACGTTCGAAGTCGCCAAACAACGTTTGAATGAAACTTAATAGGTTTTTCATAGATTTCAGCCTTTGAGGACGGTGATACATGCGTTGTACTACCTAGTTTTCAGCAGAGAAGGAATTGTTTATTCACCGTTCAGTCATATGCTGTGGGTGAAGGAGTGGGTGTGTGGTGTGATTGTTGGTATGAGTGGACAGATAACCGACATCCACGCACCGCACCCACACCCTATCTTGAGGTTTTGTTAAAAAAAAAAAGCCTGTTAGCGCAGCCCCTTTGGGGCTGAAATGTGGAACTCATATATATCCTCTAGCCTCATTAAACGAATACAAAATATCTAAAATGAAAAATCTCTCGTAGACTATAGTTGTTTTGCAGGACAATCGAAATAAGAGTAAAGACCTCTCGAATTTCTACATTTTGAACAGAAATCTTTTATTTTTTTTCGTCGGGCGCCTTATGTTTTTCTTTTGCATTGTTGCTATTCGCTCATTATTTTTCTTTTTTTTATTCGTTTTTGTTAATTTAACATTCTTATTATTATAATCATTGAATTAATTGACAAATAAGTCTGTTTTACACATACATGATACCTACAGCAGATCTTAGGCACTATTGTGTATATTAATCAACTTACAAACAATGATATTCATTATTTTTCAAAATTATAACTTAATCAATTTTGCAAAAAACTCTAGAAAGCCTGACGCCTCTTATTCTCGATTCTTAAAGTCTGTAATGGAGGGAGGTGTCTATAATGGGGTGGGGGAGGGGGGAGCCACCAACCTCGAACTGAAAACTTACACACACTATTTTCTTCGAACACATACGTGAGTTTCACAAAAACTTTCTAAGTAATTGATTTAATTTTATTAATTTTAAATAATATCACACAGTGACATGAATTGAGTTCTAACTATGGAAAAATGTGTAATAATTTGTACGAGGAAATGTAGTACATAGATTTATCATGTCATTCGAGATACCAAAGCAGTTGAACTGATCATAGCTGTGGCTCGTATCTATAATACTTAGACGTTGTATTGAACAAAGACATGTTATTAAGGAAAGAAAAAGTCTTCGACGAATATGATAATCATTTCTTTGAGTGAAAAGTAAGCTATCATTAAAAGAAAAGTAAGAAATATTAAATTGAAACTGATAAACATTGATATCGGTGCACCATTCGAATTAGTTACTTCGAGAGTGGTGCTGGCTAACGATAATGTTGATGTTGCCAATGTTTGAACAGTTGTTGGGTTTGTGAAATTATCAGTATTCAATAGTACCATGATTCAGAACTGAAACCATATAATACGCAGTATCTCGTCACTATTTTCTTTACTATTGCATTTGTTGTTTTTCAAATTTTGCATATATTTTCGCATTGATCAATGCAGCCATTGGAACCCCCACGCACTGATACGAGTAGTTTCCCAACTGAACTATAGTCATACATCCATTTTTGGTGGTGCACTCACCTATCTGGCTGTTATTTGAGTTTAAACACTGTATTGAATGCTGCGGAGGCCTTTCACTGTTTAGCAGATCAACGAGTATCGATCGTACAGAATAGTATGATTTGCCTTCGAATAGCATCCATCTGGCTGCAGTTAAAACTCGTTTTTGATTGCAGATATCTGTCGAACATGCACCTTCAAATGTAGTAAAGATTGGTATGTTTCCTATCCATTGGAATATTGAATGTATCGTTTCTTCATTAGACTTTTTACTGTTTGAGTTTGCAAAAGCAACTTGAAGGCGACGTTCTTTATGTTCGAGTTGAATTTTGAAATGACAAAGCTTGTTTTCGTTTATTGTGTTGATTAATTTCGATGAAATCTTCATCAGTTGCTCATTGGGATCTAAATTCGGTTCGCTTTTATTCCATTGTACGGTTAGATCACGAAACGTTGAGAGGCATCTCGTTTGGCCATTGCATTTGCTTAAGACAAACAGTAAAATAGAGAATATTTGTGCATTCATCTTGGTAGTTTTAAGGCCGAACAATGCACAACTCTAGATTATATACATGAAAACATCGCTTTTCTTCTTTTTTAATAAAAAACTTCTGTCGCAGTTGTTCATTTGTTATAATCGAGCGCCAGAGCTGGCAGTCAGAGAGAGATCCTAACAGATTATTAAGTCACGCACATTTCGAAAATAATAATCCGACCTAAAAAATATTTATTGACACTAGACGTGCCATTGAATTTGAATCATTGATACAAATTGAGACTGGCTTTCACGGACGATGTTTTCAACCCAGTATATTCTGAAAAGAGAATAGTTATCATAAGTTTTTAAAGATATTCTATCAGGACTCACAATTTCATATTGCGAATATTTGGAATATTTTTCAGCAAATAATTGTAAACCAAGATGGATAAACAAGAAAGTGGGAGAAGATTTCAAGCTACATCAAAACACATGATTACTGTTCTAAGTATATATTTGTATAGTAGTGATATGTTATAAATATTGACTGCAGCGTTTTTTATAAAAGGAACATAATGTGTTTCATGCCCGTTCTCCTAGACAAAAAGCAAAATAGAAGAAAGAAGAAATGAAAGGATTGGCAAACAGTATGGGACATTTGAAAACAATGGTTAATTTTATGATTAATCGGAATCAACAATGACTTCGACTCTGTTCGTTGCAGACTTCTGTCAGAGAGAATTATATTACTGAAACAATACTATACTTTGACTATTTATTTCTGTATTTCGCCATGTTTTCTCATTAAGTAGATCCATGAAGAAGAACTGATACAAAGCAATGGTTCACCACCAATCTTTCCAAAAGAACATGCTATTTTCATGATTTATCACGTTTAAACTAATTTCTTTATTTACAGCGCAATTTTTATAACTTGAAATATCATCTAAAAACATCGTTTGAACGTATTCATGAGAAAATCCATTTTTTCTCTCCAATCACCGCTATTTTTTAACACAATCACAATATGTATGCTTTCATGTGTTAGACGTGGTTTCTTAGCGTTCTTCCACAAGCGAAGTTTTTTTTAGGAACGCGCCAGAATACAGTATTTACCATACGTTTTGTCTTTAGAATAAGAGGGGGTGCTGTTGCAACTTTCGAAGACTAGACGGACATGGTATTTTCGTCCTCACAAACGAACTTTAATTGATGAAAAGTGATGTTGTACGCGAAAATTATCAGGGATCAACCCTTGCCATGTTTTTCGAAAAACAAATTTTGTTTAGAAATATATTGTATCGCACATCATTCGACATAACTTCAGGCACCGAGCGCGACTGCTCAAGCAGACAAACTTTTGAGAAAACGCGTTTAAACTCATAGAAATTGGCCTAAAATTGGCAAAAAGTGGACGTTTTTGGTTCACACTTGCGGTTCTCGACTGTGAGCCGAAAACACCAATTTTTCACCCTTTTGTGCGTTTAAACGCGTTTTCACAGAAGAAACGCCTGTACACGCATATAAAAAAGAGAAAAAAGTTGTCCTGTTATTGCAACTCAAGAAACGTGACTGTAATCATGATCAAGCATCTCGAGTATGAGAAAGCGACCACTTTTTCTCTTTTTTTTGTATGCATATACATGCGTTGAAACGCACAAAAGGACGAAACATTGGTGCTTTCGGCTCACAGTCGGAAACCGCAAGTGTGAGCCAAAAGTGTCCACTTTTTGCCGATTTTAGGCCAATTTCTGTGCGTTTAAACGCGTTTTCTCAAAAGTTTGTCTGCTTGGGATGTGGGTATGAGTGAACAGATGACCCACATCCACACCCTGATAGAGCAACACTATGTAGTGCAACCAACACTATGGTGATCGAAGTAACGATGCTTCCATGCAATCGATTTTTGTAGCACGACAAATAAATGGTTACAGTTGATTTGATTTGCTGCACTGTTTGACAGTTTGTTATCGTTATCGACGACAGTTGATCAAAATGCCATTTTTGCTGCATTTCGTAACTAAAGAAGAATTCGCAACAATGTATTAATTTCTGTGTGAATGCGTGCGAAAAAAAGATCAGAACTACACAGCCATGCCAAAGCTTACATGTGAAAGTAGTACAGAAAGTATAGAAATCCCAATGTGCATGAAGCAAAGGGAGAAGAAAAAGAATGCGACATTGCCATACAATTTTCAGTGGTGTGATTTGAAACTTGTCATGTAACTACTGACATATTACTTCTTGCTGAACTGTCTAATGACCGTCAAAGGTTTGTTCCTCATCATCTTCATATGTTATGAAGATATTCTAAATGAATTAATGATTTATAGGTCAAATGACAGCAACTCCTGGCTACATTTGTTCAATGAAAGAATCATCCGTTGAGTTTACACTTTCATATTCGAAACATTCTGCATGGTAGCCTTCAACCAATTGTTCTTTGTTATTGTATAATAATCGCTCAACTAAGAACACCAGCACCTGTCGTACTTTGTTGATACCATGCTACAATTATCGTAGGGCTGCCAATGCGAGTTACTGTGTACCAGGAAATCTATGTTTCCTGCTTGAGCAGTGCAATAACATAACCGGAACATATGCATCATACATGTCTATATGTATCGTTAATTCATGTTGCTCACCACGAGTAGTTTGTTTGCCACTGACATGGGTCAATTTCGGCTCTTCAAATAATAATACAAGTAAGGTCATTTGGATGGTACTTTCATTACGCACAGCAAGACGATTTAGGCTTTGCTACAGATCCAACTACCGTCAGTACAACAATGATTACAAGCACTACAATCACCACGGCGTCACTAACAACAGTCTCAGGTATCAGAATAGTATGGAGTTTCATCTTTCGTTGTGGCAAACTGTACAGAAAAATCTGCACTCACATGATGATCTATATGAGTTCTCAGGGAATCAAATAACTCTCTGGAAAACACATGACTTTCCAGAAAACAAAACATTTTTCAGAAACCAACATAGTTCGGAAGATGAAATTTTGGGTAAAGATAGAAACACGCAAAGTATATTACATGATAGAGGGTAACGGTAGAAACAAACATAAAGGGGTGCATAGTCTGATGTGCTCCAACATTGAGTAAGAACTGCAGTCAATGTGGTTTCTTTGCCGATTACGCCCATTGTGGGTGCTTGCGAAATAGTCTGGAAAATAAATGAGCCTTCTGAAAACTAGAATAAAGCTCTGGCTCTATCTGTGAAGGAAAAGAGACACAAAGGTTCTTCTTCAAAGTCACAAACGTGTTCAAAGCCTTGCAGCTGTCTACGAAATGAGTTCATGCTACCATGACGAATAGTAGAGTTCTGGAAACAATAATCGTGAGCATCAGTCCGACTATGGCTGTCTAAGATAATTAACAGCATCGAGAACAAAGTCTTAATGAATATTGAAATAGTATCATTCTGGAAGAAGAAATCATACAAAACAGATTTTTCTTGTTTACTGATCGCATGTGTTGTTATCTGTTTCGCTACAATCTGAAGAAAGGGTGTGGACGTAGGACTGAGTCTGCGTGTTAGAATTCAAAACTTATATCGACATACACATCTCATGTAACTTATTTACTTCTATTCGTGGTGTAGTGAAGGTGAAATCAAAAACAAACTTGGAGAAGTATAGAATATTTCTTCCTAATAGTTGCAAATATGTTTCAATAACATACTGCCAAGAAACAGTTCTGAGAACTTTAGAGTTTTTGTTGATGAAAACAGTTGTGTCAAGAAGACTGTTAGTAATAATATAACTGCCTTTTCTTTTCAGATCTATGAAAGTCAATATTGTTTTATGGAATACTGTAAAATGTAAAAATAGTTGCAATCGTCATCGAGTCATGCTTAATTTTGTAAATGAGACAGTAAATGAGTATTTTTTCCTTGCTGTACGTTGCTGTCTCTATTGATAATTGCAATCTTCAATTGTAAGTGAAAATTGAGTCTATCATTAATTTCACAGATTTTTTTATATTATTTTCTGATGTGATGGACATGCTTCATTATGTATTGGAAGTTGATAGTTTTCTTTTCAATCAGTCAATGTATCATCAATTTTTCATCTGTAATCAATATTCATTATGTGTTGTAAGGAGGAATGCAAGAAGAAAATGATGCTTGCTTTGCTATAAAAGCTGTTTCAAATCATTCGTTCAAGAATTATGAAGCGCTGGGTTGGATTTTTAGAGTAGAATGATTTCAAAAAGTAATTTATCTCCACTGACGAAGCGTTTTTCATTGAAGAATTATTTTGAATTCTAGTTTCGTAATGGAAATATTTGTAGAACTAGTCGACTGTCAACATTCGTTTGTAGATATCAATTTATGCTGGTATTAAAATAGAACAAAATGCTTAGTTCTTAATGAGTGTGTTAAAAAATGATTTTGAAGCACAATTTAATGCATCACATGTCTTAATATTTTTGCTCAGATCGTTTTAACATAGATTTTCACTATTCATAACTATGTTCGCAAGTTTTACAAATATTAAATTTTCTTTCGTCTAAAGTATAGAATAGGCTTGTACGCCGGTACTACGATAGATAACAATTTTGATTTCTGGAATGGACATGAGCAATTTTGACGTGCCTTCATATGTATTCTAAAACAGACGATTTTCGAATAGGCGTTTTTTTTGCTTTTTTTGTTCTCTCCGGTTGATTGATTACTTGTTAAGGAACTATAAAACTGCACGTCTCCGTCTCAAAACTTCTGTCAATATTCAATATTAAAGTTGCTTTGACTGCATCTTGAGAGGATATTTTGCGAGGTAATAACACGTGAATATTCTTGTCTATATATCGACATATATTAGTAATCGGTAAACTTCCTTTATAAAATACAAATACATAGGAAAATACTGTTTTCAAAACCACTAGTGCTCTTGAGGTAGGTATTTATTCGTCTAGTGTGTTCGATGCAGTGAGAATGTAGAGCGTCTTGTTTTTTTCCATTTATTTTCTTCATCAATGAAAGTACTTTCAATCAGGTGCTATTTCGAAGTTTTTGCAGTAGAGTATCATAATTGTTTCCATAGGTGCCTGCAGCAGAATGCTAGGTGAGCCATGTACTTTCTTATGATTGAAATCGTAAGTTTAATTGAAATAGATATTGAAGAGTCTTTTTAGACAGTTACCTTATATACAAGATACTTTTGGACACTGTAATAACTGCATTAATACAGAAACATACCTCAAGATATTTTCCGAAACTTATATCTAATTTTTAACGTATTTTAAAGACCGAAACAGTTATTTTGAAGTGGACTAATCTTTAATCCTTAAAGAGTTGTTTTAGCCTATATTTAATCTAGAAGATATTTTGGAGAACGTGAGAGACTTCGGTGGAAAGAATATATTTAGGATTTTGGACGAAAATGGGGCGATATTTGCTGATATTAACCCTACATTAGTCCAAAGGTAAGAATGCCGAAAATAAATATGAGAGATCAAAATGTGAAGGAAAGAGTGAGCGTGATATCTATGTGGAACTCATATACTTTAGTCTAATTAAACTAATACAAAATACGTAAAGTGCAAAATTTCTTCTATACTATAGTTATTTCCTAAGATAGTCGATCGTCACAGTAAGAATCTATGTTATTTATTTTTGAATTTCGAACACAAATTTTTTCCTTTTTTTTGATGAGTTGTTATGTTCTGTAATGTGGTGAGGGACCGAAAAACTGCGACTTAAAACTTACACTCGCTATTTTCTTCAAAAGCATATGAGAGTTTCACAAAATTTTCTAAAAGACATTTTATATTGGTTTATGTTAAGATTAAAATGTCAACTCGCTCAAAACTACCCGTACGTAAAATTCACCAAGAAGAAAAAGAACCAAATGTGATTATAGATTCACCTACACTATCAACAAATAGACCAACTCGAACACCATTACTTAAAGATTATGAATATCCAGCACTACATACAGCTTATTCACTAGCACCACAATCCAAATGGATTATAGTTCGTAATAATATACATAACATTCGAAGTTGGAACGCTATTGAACGTCTTTCGGTTGTTGATCGACCATATCAAAATTGGTATATTCTTTTTAAAACGAGATATGAATTAAAACGTGCTCAAGAACGAATTCAAACTCTTCAATATTGTCCGAATTTTAAACCTATTCATCATTTTTATTTACCTACTGATGAAATAAATGTACGCCATTATAATGTATCACATGTTCAACCAACGGATTGTATTTATTTTGCTGCTATCAGTTCAAACCCAATTGTTTTACAAAATTTACTTTACTATTTTACTAAAGAATGTACTGTTCCCTCTAACAGTTTATTTTATTCATTTTTATGTGATGTTAATTCAGTGTTAGATACGAAGCGAAAACGTATACATCGAGCTGCTGCTTTTCGAAAAGTGGCACTAGTTATAACAATAGCTGTTTTTACTATTATATTAATGATGTTTTTTTCATCGATATTAAGTGTCTTAACAACAGTATCAAATTTAAGACAAATGTATAAAAATGGTCACAATGAAGATATGACATGATTTGATTCAGAAGAAGTTCAAATGATAAATTCAACGTAGAGATAAAAACTAAATTTCTTCAATTTTTTTTTTCGATATACACTTGTGTACGTTTATCGATAGACCAAAAATTAATTAAATCATAACAAATAAAAGATAAATAGTTTAAAAACATGTCTGTTCAAAAAATTGTCTTATTAAATGTTTGATATTTTGACTACAAATAGGAGTGAGTAAACCTTGGTCATAAGCAACAACCTGAAGTTGACAGACCATTATGCAAAGGATTTATAATAAAAAAACGGGATGTGGGTATGAGTGCGTGGATGAATACGAGACAGACCTACACCCCGCACCCTCACGCCTCACCCACCCTTAATATTATTTGCACGAACTGCAATATTCAATTAAATTAATCAGTAGAAAATCAATATAGACTCACCATGTCTTTCTTCTTTTCACGTAACACAAGTCATACAAAGGCAAACTAATAACAAAAAAGGACTAAGACAAAGCACTGTGTAAAGAACATTAAACATTTATATAACAATCTTAATGATAATTTTCATATTTTCTCTACTTACATCCCAAGCAGTCAAAAATAGCAAATTAACGCGTGAAAACACTCCACTTTCTATTTTACTTTCAACGCTTTGTACATGTCGACAAATGTCCGAATTTTCGCGTTTTAACAGTTGATAAAATTTGGACTTTCACGTGGTTAGAACGAGTGGAAAGAGAAATATTTAAACACGTTAATAAAATAACCGGATCAAAACGCAAAAATTCGGACATTTGTTGAAGTGTACAACACGTTCGAAGGAAATTTTTTAACAAGTGCGTCACTGCTGGATTAACTATATTAAATATGAACTGCCCTTGACGTGCACGGATCGAGACCGAGATATTCGAATTTTAAGATACGTTTAGTGTATGTACAGTGCTCACGATTCAAAGTTTCACCACATTTTTTTCTTTTGTCGTGTTGCTTGGATATAGTTTGTCAAATTATATAAGAAAAAATGTTTCAAATTTCAAAAAAACTTTAAGAAAGTTAGAATTTTCGGTCTATTTCCCCTTATATTTGAAAATAATATCTTGGTCTTTTTTATAAAATTATTTTTTAAAATATGAAACATTTTTTTCTTATGCAATTCGACAAGTTGTATCTAAGAAATACGACAAAAGAAAAAGTATGGTAAAGTTTTGAATTTTTCGGACGTACATACACTAAACAAATCTCAAAATTCGAATATCCCGGTCTCGATCTGTGCACATCAATGACAGTCCGCATTTTATATTAGTTAATCCAACGATGAGAACTTTGATTTGGTTCGAATATGTCAAATCTTTTCTATTTACATTAGAAAACTTTTCATCGGTAGATGGAAATATTCAAATATACTATATAAACATCAGATTTGACAGTGAAAAGAAATTGTTAAGAACATATGAATATATTTTATATATTCCTATACTAGAGAAACGAAAATTTGTTGTTTTTTTCTTAAAGTATTTAATTTTAATTTCTGCAACTCTGTTGACAATTCCTTAGATGAGCCATATTTATTACTACTTTTATCCATTTCTTATTTTACATTCAAGTAACTGTTCAGAAAATATAAGTGACTAAAATCGATAATATTGATTTATTTTAAATTTTGGGATAAATAGTCACAGGGATTAAAATTCAATACAATAAAAAATAACAAATTTTCTTTTCACTGACTGAAAATATATTCGCATGTTTTTTGACAAATTCTTATGATGAAAGCGCATGACATATGGACTGTTTGAATATTACAGAAAGATGGAATTCACAAATATTGATTAAGACTATCACTTCTGACTTCCGTATCAAAAAGAATTCTTTTTCAATTTCTGAACAAAGGAAATTTTTCTTCAACCATTACATCTAAGAGTAAGTACTCATTTGGATAAGGTTCATGAACAGAATTTTATTTATTCTTTATCATCATTTATGATGACAATCTATCTATGTAATACATAAATGAATGAATGAATAATTTTCACTTCTCAATCACAATATATATGAGACAAAGAAACAAAGAACGGTCCATATAATGATCGGTAGTGACCAATAGGAACACATGATTAAATGGCGTGTATAATGCATTGAATTAAGATATATTTAGTTAAATATCGTAAAATAGAAGATTGAAATATCTCGAATTTCGATAACTATTTCAACTAAAATATTTTTTTAGTACTGAACTATTTCCATTAATCTGTTATATCTGAATTTGTCTAGATTTTACTCGTTAGTGACGAATAATTTATATAGTGTAAATAAAAGAAAGAGTAGCTCTGCATCATATTATCTATTTTATTTGTTTTCGAATATATCTACTACACTGTCGCTGTTTTTTATTATTTTTTTAAATAAACTACGATATGTCTGATACATCGTAAACACTCAAAGCGAAATATCAGCCGATGGCTCTTTTTCTGCTTATCATACTCTATATGTCTCTCTGTTTCTTAATTATCTCCCTACTTTGAAATGATACAGTAAAAAGACTATTCTATTTACAATGATTAGTTGTATGTGTCAGTATCCATAAGATTTCCATGGAAATCTTCTATATCTCAAAACAGCATTTTGCCGTTTATTTGTTTACATACTTATGAGGTATAACAAACCAATGTTTTTTATATTCATTCTATGTATTTTAATTCGTTAAAATGAATGAATATCCATGTTAAAATGCATTTATTTGACTAATTTATCTATTGCGTACGTTAAAACATATTCATTGAACTAATATTTTCACTAAATCCGTGAAAATGTGTTATCATCAAAAAAAATCCGTTTACACTCATTAATTTCTTTTATTTGTCGAGTGCACAAGTTTTAAAGCGTTGTTTTCTTCGCTTTTCATGATCAATGCGTCAAAACAACGTTTATGCCATTTATCTGTCTGCGTGGGTAGATAGAGAGTTCTCAGAGCTCTAGAAAATGTTTAATTCACCACAAGTCCAATAAAAAGCTCGCTATAATTATGTTAAGGTATGCATATACGACTTCAATTTACGAGGAGGCACATATGTACAGAACTTGAGATATCTAAAATGGCTCTTCGCTAGAATTCGGTCACTGCTCAAAATAGCCACCATATACTCAGTGACCAAGCATAATCGAAGCTGAGCGACATTATAGCCAGTTTTAAAGATACTAACGTTATTAGCCATTCATCATGTATCGATGTTTGGTCAAGACCTTTACTCAGCAGAATGTAAGAAACACAGTTTTTGTTGGTATTGTTGTTGATAAACCAAAGGAGAAGGGCAGTCGACATTTGGTAGTAAGTAAGGTGATACTTGTGGATGAGAATGGGGTCATGCGTGTTAATTATTTTTAATTCAACTCATAGTCAACTGTCAATCTTCGACGTAACTCAAGTTGATCAATCAATTCCAAGCATGATACAAGATCTCTCCGTTTCAACTATAGTTATTTTATGCTTCTCAAGTTTTCGATCGAGTTAGGGTTTCAGAGACATTTGTTTCAGTATTTTGATAAAAAAACTAATGAGTTATAATTGAACTTTACACCGATCAAAGAACTTGAGAAGTATTTCAAACTGTGCACATGCACATAGATCAAGAAATTTCGACATTTGTCTAGTTAACTCAAGTCATTGCAGAACATAAAAATCATCTTGAAACGCCGTTTAAAATAAGAAGCTTGAAAAAAACGTATCTGGATCGAGCGAGTAATAAAGTATCTCGATCCGAGTGAGATGTAGCAGAAATATGGGACGAGAAAAAATATCTTTCTACAAGCTGGAAAAAGTTTACCAGTTGAATTCAGCTTTCAACGCCAAAATTTAGTCAATCAGCTGACTTAACTTCTAACTACGTTAAACTTCTCACGTCTCGGCGAGAATCGTGCGTTTAAGATAACTATCTCTCACCATTTGGAAAAGTGGCAGATAGAAGTGGCTTCTTTCCATTGCGTTGCAAAGTTTTTTCGAAGATAGACAGAAAATCATGTGCTACAAAATAAGCACTTGTTTTCGAGAGTTGATAAATGGACTAGAACGTTTTGGGTAAATTTCTAGCATGACTGAAGCCGGACAGCGGAATCAGAAATATTTTCTAGGATTTCTTCAACAGTCTTCGGAACCAAATGGAAAAACTCGTAAGGGATTATCAATATCAAAATCCTCGATTTTGCAAAAGTGAAAATAAGTATGTTAGAATTGTAGAGCACTCTCGACTCGGTAATGTCATGTAGCTATTTTCGCAAAAAGAATGCGAATATCTGTTATGTTTGATGTCAGATGAACCTTTAAGACAGAAGTTGATACGTCAGTGGAGCATTTTAAATTCATATTGTTAGTTTAAAAAACACGCGACATTGCAAAGCCAACAATGCTCTAAAATCCTAGCATACTTATTTTCACTTTTGCAAAAATCGAGGATTTAGATCCCGTACTTTCTGCGGATAGTTCGATTTGGTCCTGCAAACTTTGTGAAAGAAACTCTAGAAGATTTTTCTGACTGCTCTGTCGAATTTCCAAGCGTACTAGTAATTTATTCTCAAAATTTCAGTTCGTCTATCGATCCATGAAAAAAGTTGATAATTTTCAAATGATTACACATCTTTGATAC